GGGAAAAAAGAAGGTTCACTTTTTCAGTGATTTGGATATGCAATAATTGTTGAAAAACAACAGTGTTTTTTAAGGATATTTTTAAGGAGTCCCACCTTTAAGGTTACTTTCTAAAGTATCTATGCACTTTGTAATATGAATAAGAATAGAATTCATAGAATAAAAATCAGAGAAGAGATTAACAACACCATCCATCAAGGAACAAAACTCTAACAGTTCTTTAAAGCACAACCTGCTTATTGTGACTTATGATTTACCAGTCTTATTCTAATGTGACCCTGTTCAAATCATTACAAATTGAAAGCATTAACTGCCTGCTCATGCTCAAGAAAGTAATTCAGAACTTCCACCTGAAAACTCGGGTCCTGTTTCACCTTAACTGTTCGATGCTGCGTTCATGTTACTGCAGCTGGTGCAACAATAGAGCTTTGTGCTCCTGGTAGGGCTACCCTCGGCAAATTGGTCTAAGGTGAGGGGCCGGACAAAGAGTGATCCAAACTAGACTCCCATGATGGTTTCATTAAAAACTAAGAGAACCCTGTCCACATCAGAGACACTAGAACCCACCCCTAGAGCCAGTGTGGGCTCGCCACCTGCAAGATGAAGGATGGGGGGGGTGGATATGATGCCATTCACGTGAGTGTCACAATCGTAATCCCTCCTCTTAAGGGCACTCTGGATCTTTCACATTTTAGTTTATTATGAGCACCTGCCTCCTACCCAGCCCCAGGCCCATTTCAGCGGTTAATGGAATGCCCTAAGCTGACAGGCTGGAGGACCCGAACCTTTTTAGTCTTGAACAGCAAAGATTATGAGGGGACTGTATACATTTATTAATAATTACTCAAGAACACTGTCATAGTTAACCAACTGGTCTTCTTCATCATGAACAGTGAAACATGAACCAGGAGACAGAAGAGGAAAAGAAACTTAATGATGGTAATTCAAAGTTGTAGCATATAGCATGATAATTGATGCTGATACCCTGGCCTATTTCAAGAATCAAGAATCATAAAATCCTTGAATCAATTAAATATTAACTACGAAATGGGATAGACAGGCCAAATGACCTACTCTTATTTATATTTTTTCAGTTTTAACAAATTTGTACTGTTTTCTTTTATAATATGCTTCCTTACATCAAATTCAGCATCTTCCAAAACATCTTCATGTCATGGATTAGTTAAATACCAAGTTAAATATTGTATGGCTAATAGCTGGAAAAGAGCATTTTTTCTACTGTAATTTCACCTGCTTGCGGTGTACGACTCCTGCTGTCGGTTGCATAATCCAAATGTTATGGGCCTATTTTAAGATACATGGCTGTCAGACCCACTTTAAATGATCGTAAACAGCGTACAGCAGATACTGCTGGGCTTTTTGATATTAGCGAGTACTGCAAAGTTTTTTTTTTCACCCAGTCCACACACTGTAATTAACAAGATGCAAGGGGATGGAAAAAGAAATGTGACATACTATAGATAGTGATACTATAGTGCAGCAAGCTCTAGTATTACTGCTCTATGTAAGGCATTGGTGGTGGAGAGACAGACAGCAGAAACTACACATATGGGGCCTGTGTATATAATAGACATGGAGGTGTCATGCAAGGGATAATTAATTCATCAATTCATCATGGTGCTATGTACAACACTGTGACATGGCTGTGGGTCATATTGTACAAATAAACCCTGTCCTTTCTGTGCTACTCCTTTTTCCACACATTGAGATCTTGTGACTTGACTTCAGACTCAACTTCATGTGTCTTGTTTTTACAGATGGGGCTTGTTGGTATCAACAGTATATTGCACCAAAACCAACCAACCATGTTTGTTAATGAAGTTTAGGTAATATTTGCCACTTTGGTTCCTTCATATCCTAATCTTTATTTGCTGGAGGACTTGTATTAATATGGGCAATTGCCAATTGTAACAGTGTGTTACAATCTTTTACTTTTTACTGAAAAAAAATGATTTCCTTTAAAATAACTTTGGTAAAACAGAATAAAAAATAACATTTTTCAATTGATTCTATATTAGGATATGCACACTATAATTCTATTACGCTATTAGTCTATAACACTATGTGTTAACTGAATTCTGAGTTCTCTACTAGTATCATATTGTCATGATACAGAACTCTCATTTGAAACAACAAGATGTTTGCATTTTTCTATTACAAATTAGTATATGGAAGGAAGCCCACTCTTTTGCAGAGAATGAAAAACAATTTAACATTAAAGAGCCCTTGAAACTACTGTACATTAGCCTGAAGCTTTCCAAGATGGGAGCTGTGCATGTGTGATGCAGAGCTAGAACCTTTTTTAAGGCACTACATACTTATTCAAGAGGTTGTGTAATACTTAAACATGAAAGAGTATTTCCATATAATCATAGGCCACTCTTGAAGGGCTGCAGCATCTCCAGTCTTTTACTCATAGACTTGGTGCATTGAGATACTGATAACTGCCTGCAGCTTACAATGAAATTATGACCAAGGAAACTCTTAATAAAACAGGGGAAAACAAAAAGTATGTACGTGTCAATAACAATCAGATGTTTTAGAATACATTAATATGTGGACTCAAAGATGAAAACCACCCAGCTGCTGTCATCTGAAAACCCATCTGCAAACCCTAGTAGTTTGCCAATACACAGACAATGGAATTTTTCACAAAAACCAGTGATACAACCAGAACAATCAGGATCCCTGTCATATATACTGACACTGTATGTCCTCAGTCTGTTCATTTGTCAGCCTCAATGTCACCCAACATCTTTTGCATCTTTAAGTGTCACAATATGTGATTTGCACTTTTCCCTAGGCCACTAAAAGTAGAAAAAAAATGTAATGTTCAGGCGCTTCTTCTTTCATTTCAAACTATAATAAATGTACATGACTCCAGCTAATTGTAATTTCAAGTGTGCCCCCTATGAGTGAAAATGATAATTAAACTGATTAAAATATTGATTAAATAAGAACACCCCAGATAATTACAGCTGGAGAAGCCTGAATATTAGTATTTATGTTTCATTTGATATTTGAAGCCTTTTTGGAATCCTGTCTTGTGAACAGTCCAGGCTTACAACACACCTCTAATCAACCCCATTTTTCTCCCTATATAGGGAATTTGCACACAAACATTTGCTGAGTATACCTCTTTAGTCCTCAAGGTTCAGCAGGATTTGTATTATGACATACATACAGGTACCTCTAAATACTAGAACTAATCACCTTGGTTAGTACTCTAGGCTCTGAAGATGGAGTAATTGAGTTATGACAGTCCATGATCAAACAAGTCATGTTTAAACTACAGGCTCAAATTGTACTCAAATGTATTTATTTTTACTAATTAAGCTACTGTACTTGGTATCCCTCTGTTGTGTTCATTAGTACTGAACATGAATTGACCCTTTGTTGAATAATCAACAAAAGGATTGTAGATACTCAAACACAATAGCAAAGCAATAATTTATGGCTCTCTTTCTTTAAAGAGGTAACATTTTTTCTTCATATTTAACAAAAATAGTGACATATTGTGTCTGTGATTGTAGGCAGAATAGCAGATAAAGAACTGTTTATTCAGGGAAGTGATTTCTGCTTAATTTTATGCTTTTAGGATGGCTTTATTCCAACTCAGACAAATGTTCATTTCCACTTCAAAAGATGGCCCCTGAGGTACAGAAGCGATAGGAAAAATTATAGCCCAATTATCATAGCAGCTGTTCAATAGAAAAGTGACTGCTGTATTTGTAAAAGAAAAAAAGAAAAAGCACAGCATTTTGTACAAGGACAAATACCTTCTGTGGATCAAGCCAAGGTTCTATTGATAATGTATATTATTATTCAAAAAAAGAGAAAAAAAATGATAGAATCACTAGAGTTGCATTTGAGAGTTTTTGAAAGTTTCACACACTGGCCTGCTGAGTCTGAGGCTGTATCCATACTGTGGCTCCTTCCTTCTTATGTACAGTACAACTAAAAGAAAAGACAATTCTTTGACTTACAACCTTCTGCCTGCAGTTGTGTATGCAGGGTAGATATTATTATGACTCTGAAAATCAGATGATGATGGAAATGCAAGAATGATTAACATCAAATAAGAGCCCTAAAAGAAGATGCAGTTACATATTCCTACTCTTGATACTGATTCCTGACACTGAGCCCAATCTCCTGAATTTTGTTTCTTAATCAGATCTCGTTTCTTCAGATAATTATCATATTCTAAATTTGAATTCAATTCAGAGACTGCTACCAACATTTCTAAACAAATGGTAATAGAATTTTACAGCTACTCTTATTTGAATTATGAAAGCCTTTGGTAATAGTTTGAAAAACTCTAATTAAGTGAAGTACTGTATGGATTACATTAAGATTTTAGGACTAAAGTCTTATTTCTGATTAATGTACAGTATCAACAAATATAGATTTTCCATCTTCTACTTATCTTTCATCAAAAAAGAAATAGACAATTTTCTCCATTAACAACCAAAACCATGAATCACAGACAAACATCTATAATCCTGACTGAGATTGTAGCTCTAAATTCAGTTTTTCTGTCATGAGTATACAGTAACAAATAAATTGGCCAAAATAATGGGAATCCTAACCTTGCTTCTGTAAAAAACCCAAGAATAATAGATTGTAGCAACAACATGTGTATTGTATGTATTAGATAATATTTTGAAATATTTGTAGCCCAATTTCTTACAAATGTTTTAGCAGGATCACTTTTGATTGATGTTGTAATAAGCATAAAGGTGTATAGAACTGAACCAATTCTTGCACCAGCTCCACCAATTTAAGAGATGGGGATTATTTTGCCTACAAAAGGTGGTGGGAGTCTATCACTTACTCCTCAAGCCACAAACACATTGCCACCAAAAAAGTTAATTTTTTAGTAGATGTGTCCTAATGTTATGGCCAATGACTGTAGAGTGATGCAACATTAAGACCTTAATCTACAGGGAACAGACACTTTAAGACACCTCTCGGCTCACCTGCTCGTGGAACTCGATACCCATACTCAGCGTGTTGATGAGAATGGCGAACATGATCCCCCTGCCGAAGTACTTGCTGTCCACAATTTTGCGAAAAGTCTCACACACCAGCCTCCAGAACTGCAGCACATGTCCTGCCTGTGCACCCACCTTGGAGCCTCGCCTTTTGGGCTCCCGATGGTCCCGATACTGGGCATCTTGGGTAAATTCATAGACACCCTCACTGTCTGAATCCAGGGTCTCATTATCAGTACCCTCAGACTCGTTATTTATTGATTTGATGCAATATGGACAGCTCTCAGGATCAAAGGTTAGGTTGTCCAGGTTGGTGCAGTTGCTATTTAGTTTACAGGAGCCTTTACAGGGGCCTGTGAAGAAACAGAAAAATGGTTTCACTTAGGACATTGCAGATGTCATTGCAGATGTATCAATTCAGGGGTTTATCTGCAGTTAAAATTTTAAAACGCATGACATCATTCTGGAGCCTCATCACAGGCTATTTGTGAGAGCGTCTACTGGTATTTTGCAGTTTACCACTACAATATTAACAACACATCATGAGGAAGCTACAGTACAATTAAACTGAATACAGTGTATGTAGTGGAAGCTTTCTAGAAATGATACTGTTAACTTTTTTTGTGAAAAATTATATTTAAAAAAACTGTTGTACTAAAGGGATAACTGCTGTTACTTTATGTTTAAAATAATCAACAACCCTTTATGTTTTAAACTTGAGGAACAATTAAAAAAAAATGGAGATGACAGAATGTTAGATGCCCCTACAGCATCTCATTCTCAGTAAATACTAAGCTTATTTTTTGTTTCAACGCTCATCCTTCATTTGGTTTCATATTGTAAGAGCATTCTCTTTGTACAATCATTCTAAAGGGCTTGCAGCATTTGTGATTAATCTGTACAGTATGTACAGATGTCAATGCACACCCTTCAGGTTCAGGCTGCTTTGCAGTAAAATAACCCCACTCCTGCATCAATCATTATCCATCACAAATTTTGTATATCTGATTAGAAAGCCTGGATGATATTCGCAGAAATTCTTCAAGTGATTGTCCATCTATACAGAACCTCTGTACAAACATGTTTTCTTCACAAATATGACACTTCTAAGGTTTCAAGGACAGAAAAGGAAAGTGTATAACTTGAAGGAGGGAGAGGAAAGGTTTTATCACAAACCCCGTTTTCAGGTTTTATTGATAGTACTTTATCAGATTAAGGAAATATTGTAAATGAAAACTCTATTTTGTATTGCATTAATCAATCATTCAATTGTATTATTGATTGCATTATTCAACCATTCTGACATGCATTACGTTCATACAATTCACAAACAAATCTATTAAATTAACTCACCAGCACTCTGTGTTTCCAGTAAACGATTCATGGTGCCAAAAGGCCTGGGTGGAATATTCAGATTGGTCAGCATTCCACCACTGCAGCCACTGCTAGATGAGTCTCCCAAGGTCTTCTCTTTCTGGAGCTCCTGAGGAGTGGAGGGGTGCACAGTTGGATAATTTTTGGGCATAGAGGCAGAGGGCACAGAATTCCTCTTGATGCACTGGAGGCTGGGACTTGGGGTGCAGTGGATGGGCTCAAAGTGGCAGTCGGCATGGTAAACACTGTGAACAGACTCTGTGTTGCCTGACGTGGGTGGTTGGGTTGAGGGTAGGTGTAGATTAGCTGTGGATGGGGGTGGGAGCATGAAGCGACCTGTGCCATTGTGGAAGGAGCCCATCTCCCCATCGCCCAGTTCATGGCTGGGGCGTGATGTCCTTAGGCTGCCATTGCCCACATGATAGTGGTGATGATGGTGGTGGTGGTGATGGACCAGATGGTGGACAGACGCCCGGCGGTGTTTTCTCCGCCTCCTCTTGTGGGCAGGCTGCTCTTCCCCTGTCCTTGCACACAGCCGTAGCCCAGTCTTGGCAGCCACAGTTCTGTATACATGACCCAGCTGCCGGCTAGCCTTCCGCACTACATGAACCAGATACTTGAGCAGCTCGTCATAGCAACTACCTGGCTCAGAGAAGCTGGCCAGAGTGCTGGCATTGGACATGAAGCGTACGCGCTGCTCTTTCATGAGTTGGCTCTCACGTTGCTTGGTTTCGGAGAACTGTGTGGCAATGACCACCAGGCACAGGTTGATCATGAAGAAGGACCCAACCTAGGAGGACAAATGGTCAGAGACAGGACAGTTTGGAGTTCAAGTGCTCTCAGACAGGACCACATTATAACTTGGACAAAACAATTGAAACTATGCTTTTAACTGCCCTTGTGCAATCATATAGGACACTTACTGTATATGAATGTACTTAACATGAGAACTTCAGAGTTCTCCTGTTACCAGGTTTTTAATCATAAAACTGATAAGAAGGAGGAGGAGTATATAATTTATCAGATTTTGTATTAAAGTGCTACATTTTAATGGATTAAGAGGGACAGATATGGTGTTGCTCTGCATTGTATGATGCAATATATTTTTAAATGTATTGAAAGACTAAAGTTTAGGACTGCAAGCAGTTCTGTCACAATTTGTACTGTGATGAATTACTGTACTACAGTAAAGCCATAAAACACAAGAAATGTTACAATCAAGAGGACGATAACGTGTCTTTTGCTTGCTTATTTCAAGAAATGGCTACTGTAGATTGGCCTTTGGATTGTATTTGTTAATGCCTTTGAGGACTTTAATCAAGTCACCTTATAATCTTTTTAAGACTAAAATGATGTATATTCTTAGCCTGGCTGTATAAGATAGTAATTATTAACCATGGTCCTAGGGGACCACCATGTGTTCTGGTTTAAACGTTGGGATAAATGAGATGAAGCCGATTTAGCCCATTTGGTAGCTAGTGGATAATTGATCTAAGGCCCTTATCCAGACATTTCTTGAAAGAAACCAGGTTCACTGCATTGTGTGTTCCACATTTCCATGGTCCTTCCTTTGGGTAAAGCAGTGCTTCCTGTTCACGGTTTTGAATGCACTTCTACATTTGTGCACTACAGTTTGTGTTTCGCTGTTCATTCTGAAAAACAAATCAGCTGGGTTGATTTTGACAATGCCTTTGAGAATTTTGAATGCTCGTATCAGGTCTCTTCATGGTCTTCTCTGTTCAACACTAGAAAAGTTAAGTTTCTTCAACCTATAAGTGCAGGATATTCTTTTAAGGCCTTGGATGCATCCGGTTACTCTTCTGATTCCAGAGCATCAATATTTCTTCTATAATGTGGTGATGAGAATTGTACACTAAATTTTAAATGAGGCATTACTAGTGAGTAATGTACTATTTTAACATAACCTGTATACAAATTCTATGCTTTTAACTATATATCCTGGCATTTTTTTTGGCTTTTTAATTGCTTCCCAAAGTTACCTAAAAGATGGAAATATCGTGTTGTGTCAAACACCTTTATTTAACATACAGTAAATAGCCTATCCTAGCTCAATGTTTCCCATTATGTATTTATAGTTAATGTTTTTACTACCTGCGTACAATACCCCAAAGTTATCTACATTAAACAATCTACCAGTTGTATGTTTTTAACTTGATGTGTTTTTTATTTTCAATTGCTTTCAACTTTTCAATAGCTGAATGAAAGTTTTAATAGATATGAATGTTGTATCTGTTTCTGAGTTTTAGAGCTGTCCTCTTCCCCCTTATCTCATAAACTGAACACCTGTTAGTAGCTATACAGTCAGAAGTAAGGATAAGCAAGTTGAAGAGAAGGGTCACAGACACAGGGGTCTCCTAGGAACTGGAGAGCTACTGGGGTAGAACATTCGTTTAATCCTAGGAATGTGTCTGGTTGTTCTTCTCTGGGCTAATTACAGAAAAAAACATGATTTTTGTAACTTAGTGGCTAAAACTGTGCATGATATTATAAAAGAGGTCTTACTAGTGCACCATACAATTTTAACATAATATCAATTAATGTAAATTACACATATGTAATGAAAAAAACTAACATTATTTTCTTTTTTTTACTTTTCCACATTGTCTAGAACAGGGGTTCCTTATTGTAAGAACTCTGATGCAGGGTCCCCGACAATACAAAAACATGTATGTGAAAACATACCTTCATAATTCAGCATAAATGATGTTTACATCATGTTGATCCAAAGGTTACAATGTATGGCACAAAAGTAACATAACTACAATAATAGGTGTCAGTATACAATTATGCTTTCACAACCTCAGTTAACCACAACAAACAACAGTACATTGCACATAAAACCCTTGCTAGTTTAAAGGGGGGAAAAATGGTTCTTAATTTGAAAATCAAATAGTGAAAAAGATAAAAAAAAGACTGTTGAAAGTGGCCAGAGAAAGCAACTTTGCAGATGCAAACACAAAGGCACAGTTCCACAAGAATAGAAAGGTAAAGCAGAAAACAGACAATTAAAAAAAATAATTTATGGGGTTTTCTTTATGGTGAGCAAATCTGATACAAAGCCAATGTGTTTAATTTGCAACTAGACAAGCTCTTCTTTCAAGCACAGGAATTTTGAATGCCATTACACAGAAACACATTCTGAATTTAATGGTAAATACCCACCTGGTAGTAATCTACAGAAATATAAAGTTCAGGAGCATGCCACTGTGCAAGCCAGTTAAAATTGTTGTTGGCGAGAGTTTGATAGAATCTTCATTTGAGATTACATTGGTTTTAGCAGAACACAAGCAAGTTTTTATTGATGCAGAGATTTTAATTAATATTGTTTGGTCTGTGTAGAAATTATGACTTCAGTTACCTGGAATGCAATACTGAAGTATACAAATAATCTTTGTTGATTGTTTCCTAGAATTCTGTTTCTATACATTCGATTTGTTAGCTTTTTACTAATTATTGTTTACTGATTATTTTGTGTACACGCACAAAAGAAATAAGACTCCTGGGTCTATGATTAGTTTAGTTGTGTTGTGCTTTTAATGGATGAGAGCTAAATCTTAATGTCCCAGCCAGTGGGTATTATCCCAGTTACTGTATCAGTGATCAGAGAGTGTGAAATCTATTGTTTCCTTAAGTGCAATCTGTAGAATACCATCAGATCTTTGTGATTTGTTTCATCTAAAATATTAAACATATACATTAATATATTTTACCAACAAGGATTCTATTGTTATCTGAGACACTTAATCCTTAGTTTTTTAACTTTTATTAAAATAATCTTTAGTGTTTTTATTATCTTTATTTAAATTTTGCACTTCATTATATTATTTTTCTTTAAGCTGATCTTGTTCTTTTTACTCATTTTGTGAAGAGCTTTCTTTCTCCTTATATTTTTCATAAATGTGGCAGTTTCATTGTTATAGAATGGATATTAGTTGAAAGAAAAATAAATAAGAATTATTTGTTCTTTCATACATGCTAAATCAATAACAAAAACAAATTGTTACAATATATTGAAATTTTGCAAATCAATGTGGAAGTTAGGTTGTTGCAGAATTAATGTTAGTATAATAATTTTGTCTATTTCATTTGTATATCTAATCAAATTGACTTTGGCCTCAGAACTGAAATTATTTGTTTTATTAAAACATTCTGCATATGGCCAAAGACACCAAATAAATATAATTAAAATACATTTCCATATTGATTATACATTAATATCCTTGCATTAGCTAAAAACAAATGATTTTGCTGTAAGAAATTGTCAAGATAGTGTGTAAATAAATATGCTGTAACTGTTTCAAAACCTCTGAACTGAGGAGAGGTTAAGTTTACGTTTTGAGATTCTTCTATTGTTTGAAAGGTTGATCATTTTCAGTGTAAAAGTAACCACCAGAGGGAAGCAAAGGCTCATTGAAATAGCCTACTTAGTTTTATGATACATACTGTATACAGTAGTATGGTATCAGTATAAGTGTGCGAAACTTTAGACACGCCATCATTTGTTATTTGAATTGCCACTGCCACCATGTTCATAATGACCACAAGTGAAATGAATTGGTTTAAGTTATTTAATATTTGAAGTTTGGACTGGACTGGACCATGAGTAACAATTCTTAGTGCACTTAGGGGTGGAGTGGTGGCTCTGTGGCTAAGGATCTTTGCCTGTGGCTAGAAGGTTACCAGTTCAAATCCCACAGCTGGCAGAGGAATCCTACTATGTTGGGCTCCTGAGCAAGGCCCTTAACCCCGACTGCTCCAGGGGTGCTGTACAATGGCAGACCCTGTGCTCTGACCCCAGGCACTCTCCTTGTCTGTGTGTCTCATGGAGAGCAAGCTGGGGTATGTGAAAAGAATTCCTAATGCAAGAAATCTTCATTTAAGCTGCCACACTATTGTACCATGTTATACTGTACTGTAATTATATTTGCTCCATACTTTTCAAATTTGGACTGGTAAATGAGTTTTTGACCTATAGCAGTTTGAGGATTACATCATTATTTTAACAGGTTAGAAACTGCCAGCGTGTTGTGTACTACAACGACAATTTTGAAAATCGGAATCCTATTGACTCAGGAACAATGCCTTACAAACATGGAGTTAAGTACTTGTTTTTGAAAAAAGGCAGTTTGAAGTGTAAAAAAAATAATCCTTTCAGGTGACCACCTTGATTTCTACAGGAATCTCTTTTTGATATGAGTATTATCTTCAGAATAGTAGATCTATCTAAGTACAGTAGATGTCTTGGTACTGTAGATGCCTACCTTGTCAGGAGTTAATTGGCCAAATAATTTTTGTGATGTTTGTGTTACAGGCTCTAATGAGAATTAGATGGCCGAAGAATTATTGCAGCAGCGTCTGAGGTGCAAATTTGAAGCAGAGTTCAGTGTTCATGCACTATGCCATTTAAAAATTCAATCAATTCTGCACTACAACTATCTGGGCTGCCATTTTTGTTGATGCAGGACCTATTTTTTCCATCCATCCATTTTCTAGCTACTTCATCCAATTCAGGGTCATGGGGGAGCCAGAAACTATCCTGACTAACGAAGACATGAGTTATGATACACCCTGGAAAAGACTCCAGTCCATTGCTGGGCAGGGACATATTTTTGCCACAGTTTAAATGGCTTAACTGTCTAGATACACCTGTATGAAGCTGCCTGGATGTATGCTCTTTTATCATGACTAGCTTCAAAGCCAGTACACTAAGTAAAACAAAATACAAAGAAACCTCCTTACTACCAAACTAAAGTTTGTTTCAAACCACGTTTAAAGCAATGATCACAGAGACATTTTTACAGTACAGGACTTTGTAACCACCTTTGTATATTTATTTTAATGATCTCAAGATGCAGCTTGACTCTGGCCATCATCTGGATTATTGCTTCTTGCAGTCTGGCCACCACTGCAGATTTTCCAAAGTACCTCTACATGTTCTCCAGTTCATTTTTTAAAGGTCAAAAACATTAAGTAATATTAACACTGCCAATATAAGAGCCAATGACAGTGTAGGAGCCAGCAATTTCTCCCGAAGCCCATTAAAACTATGTTCCAGAATGTATCTGCAAGAAGCCAACAGACATATTAAGTACACTGAATTCAATTTGTTTGTTCTGTGCAGAGAACACGTGAAAGCGCATTGAGCTAAAACAGCTACATTAAAAACTCAAATTCGCTTCAGCTACAGTAAGTATATTACCTGACTCCCAATTTCTGCAAATGGTCTATCAAAAGCATAACCTATGAGGTGATGAAAAGGCTTGAAAACATATTTGCTCCACGTGGAACAAAAAACATAATGTGACAGAGAAGAGAGATTGCTTAATACTAAACGTCCTGATAAAACTTCTTAAAATGTTATAACCTAATTTTAATCGCATTACACAGAGCAAAGTCATATTTGTCATTAATAAATTAAATCCAGAAAACTTGAGGGTCACGTTTATTTTATTTGACCACTTTAGTTGTTATTTTGTAGTATGAGGTTCCTGCACTTCTGGTTGTGTCCTGCTTTATTGAATTCTAACCACAAATATTCAAATAAATTGAGCTCTGGAGATTAAGATAACCAGTTAAGAACATTTATTTTGTGTGCAGTCAAACCATTTTTGTCAATCTGGATGTATGCTTTGGATCATTGCCAGGCTGGAATGTCAATTTTTTGCTTGAGCTTCTTGGCAGAAAGAACCAGGTTTTGGCTAAACTTTTCTTGTACTGTATATGTTTGAGCTCATGATTCCCTCTTTCAGAACCTGTTGATGCAAACCAACTCAAAAATAAAAATAGACACCCTCCCATATTTCACAATGGATGTCAACATATATCAACTATATCGACAGGGTAATCTTTTTATGCCTCAAAACCTGTGGTGGCAAAATGCTCTTGCTTCCTCTTCTTGACAGTGTTACAGCTACTGTATACTCATACATTCTTTGACACAACTTCTCAACTTCCTAATTGACACAAGGGTGAAGCGTGGTAGATTCAGCCTTTGGAAATTATTTTGGTATCTGTTGCCCTTCATTGTTTTAACAGCTCTTTAACCTTAACCATGATGAAATGTTCTACTACGTAATGTCTTTCATACAGTACGTTTCCTCCTTTTATATCTCATAGGAACATGAAACTTTCAGAGACCTGTATTCTAGATAATTCTGAAGACTTGCATTGCATTTCCAAGGAGCATAAACATATTGTACATTTGTTTTTGTTCTCTGGAATTGAATTATAGAGGGTCATAGGATTTTGCTCTGTGCTACAGCTTTATGATTGTTTTATGAGAATTTTTTAAAAGCAAAATATATAATAAATAATAATACATTCACAACTCATTCTGTTATATGATGCTTTCTGTTCCTATATCATTGGGGCTTTGAATAAATCTGGAGGGCACTGTACATCACTCAAATAGCTGCTGAAGAAAGGAATCACCTACATGTTAACAAAAATCTTCCACTGATTTTGATATTATTTTAAAATTTAAAATGTTGGTATAACATTAAAGTAAATGTACTGAAAAGGATTCACCATATCTTGCTATCAGTGTTGCTGTGGTAATTACACTACTAAGGAATATCTAGAGGAATTTAATTGAATGAATTTGGACTTTGAGCGAACAAATGAAAGATAGAAATTCTCACATGATCATCAACATGATCATGGGATAACCTGACTCCTGATACAAAGGCAAACCAAACCACTGATTTTCCCACTTTAGTCAAACACATGCCTCCTAAAAAACATGGTGCAATGGATAATAAAATAATCTGTGCTGCTCAATTTACAAACTTATATGATCGCAGCTAGAATTCTGCACATACAGTACAATATGATTTATTCTAATTAGTGGGGTTACAGGCAGTTACTTACTATTATGAGAAGGATGAAGTAAATGAAATTGTAGAAAGAATGGGCATCCATTACAAAATACATGATATCCACCCAGCCTTCCAGAGTGATCACCTGCAGAGAGAACAGATTGTCAGTACTGACTTTTCATTGAAATGGCTTAATATTTTTAGCTGGGAATTTAATAGTCAGAAGTAGTATCTTGATTTCCAGGCCAGCACAACAATTACTTTATTAGTGAGTAGTAAAATAAGCCAATACTATTGTTCCATAAGATGTTTTAGTTTAATGTACTTGTACTTTTATTTTATTTACAGTAGATTGCTCAGATATCTTACATCACAGTTGCATCAGCTGATGGTAAGTAGGTGAAGCATTCATTTAAAGTAAAAATAAAGAGCTGACCCTTTAAGCAATGTTGGAAAACTTTAGTTGAAGAAAAAATCTTGATCTACAGATAAAAATACAAATTGTGCATTAAGTTAACAAAAAGTTTAGAATATTGTTAAATGTAACCCACTCAGTTGAAAGGTTCACACTTCAGACTACTTGATTAAAATTAATTATCTAATTATATTTAACTTTTTATTGTTAGAAATAGAAATCCTACAGAACTAGGAGCAGAAAACCTCATGGACTGTTGGCTATACAGGACTACAAGTGATTTATGTATCCTAAATGTATCAAGATGAATAAATCAACAAAGTAGTGTACTGTTACACTTCAGCAGTCACTGGTTTTTCACCCAATTGTATCTCTGCTTTTATCCACTTAAAGTAACTGAATCCACTATAGACTTCATTATGAATTTTTCCGCCTCTTTAGTCACTGAAAACATGAGTTCCTTACAAATTGTATAGGAATGTGGTATTACACTATGAAGTTACTTGCAGTGTCTGGTGTTACGTGCACTAGTTACTTACAGTGTCTATTGTTTTTCTTTAAATACCCCATAGAATATGGGAGTTAGCTGTGGCAACACTCTCAGTCATCATATCAGCATATACAGTACAGTATCATCCCAATCCATATGCCACGTGAAACAAAAATGTAAACTTTTTCTTTTTTTAATTCCTTTTCTGCATTTTAGAATTAATTGGAAATCACAGCATGGAAGAGGAGGTCAAAACGTTATGATCTCATTTTACACACATAACCGTGACCTGGAGACCTGAAGTAAGGGGAATAGGTATTTTAATTTACCCATCGAATAATAAGAGCTAATAGGACCCCTTTTCCATTACATTGCATCATGCTGACTAATAAAATATATAATTTAATTTTGAAAGAAAATTGCAACCCATGCAATTTTCAGTAAGTGCAGAGATCAGTGGGTCACGACTGTGTTAATTAAGTCTCTGTAGTGCTTTTGGAGGTAGTGATTTCTGTACTTTTCACAATTCCTTTCATCTGACAATTACCGCTTGTTTGGCATCTACTGTGCATTGATAAAATTCATGTATTGTAGCTGTTTAGCTGTTTATCTCTTAAAATAATTAGCTTTTTCTATAGTTTTTTGGATGTTGGGGCAAAGATTTGCAGTCAGAAGACTGGAAACCATATAAATAGTGAAAACGTAGATAATCAATGCCAAAGCAGATGGAACTCTACTGTGTGGATTGGAACGCGCCACATACTGTATGAAAGCACCTTCCACACAGCAAGAAAAGCTGGAAGGAGTACCTGGAAGATGGCTATCCAGGCAAAGCCGATGTTGTCAAAGTTGATTGCTCCCTTGAAGGGGTTGACGTCCCCCGCTGAGCAGTTCACGTAGTATTGGTTCCAGTTCACGCAGGTGGTGTTGTCAGTGCTGTTGTAGGCAGTGTAGTCCTGGTGACACTCCAAGCCATTCTCTCGTAGTGTGGGAATGTGCCGACAGTAGCGCATCCCATTCTCCCGTGGCTGTGAGCAGATGAAAGGATTCTCGTCGTCGTTTTCTGTGTGGTAGTAGGAGTTCAGCTCGAGGGAGCGTGGCCTGAAAAAAAAAGAGGTCTGTCAATAATGATGTAGTATCTTGCTATTTACTTCAGCCTCTGGCAGCTGGAAACAACCTTACCAAAAGAATGTCAGGAAAAGACACTGCCCTGCTGTGGCCTTATTTTGCAGTGGAATGGGAAGTTAAAAATTCCAGATTTTGTCACATTTGTTTTGCTTTAAATTTTGGTGATTGTCAACACTTCTTCATTGTATATCCTGCTTCCTCGCCTTTTTGAGCCTCCATTGGTTAAATCATCTTGTCCTATTGTTGACATCTTGACCCTCACATCAGCACAGCATCCCAAAGGATCCCAAAACACCCAATATACAGTATAGAAGGTCATGTACTTCATCTACTTAGGAAGAGTATCATCCATCTGGGTGACATGTGGCACCATTGAGCAGCAGGTAGATAAGTGACAAATAACTTCACCAATTGGATTAAAAGAAAATTTTAGGAACATCAGATTTTGCAAATCCATAACCTAAAACTAGTGATTACTGATTTCAGTGCTTATGACCTCCAAATCTGTTGGTTTTGCTTTTACCCAAGCTTTTAGTTGTGTAGTGTGATCTCTTAATCTTACTAATAATATAACTTTATTCTCTTTTCATCATATATATTGGGGATTGTATTTTAATTAAATTTGATAAATAACTTAAATAAAATGAAATATAAATAAAACTGCCCAAATAATAAGATTCAGAGTAACTTGTTGCCCTTGCTGTGCAAAGTAGCACGCGTGTGGCTGAGTTATAGAGCAGACATCATCATGACAGCATAGCAGCACTGCTACTGTATATTCTAGCATAACAATACTGCTGCATTAATCAACAATGCTCATTAAAATATTCTCAGCACCTAAATAGCCTTCTGTACTGAGGTTCTATAAAACACAACGGCTTTATATCACCAAAGCTACAGTATATTCTAAAATTCTTAAAGACTCAGTTGACAAACCTTTTTTGCAGTGTCTCTATTTTTATAGTACAATTTGTTTTCTAAGGATAGAAGGCCATATTGATCATGACAGCCAGTTAAGATATCTTATGGTCACCCTTGATTCATCAGTAAATAGTCTGGAGATCCCTGAAATTAAAATGTATAGTATTTTCATCTGATCTCATTCTCTAACCGCTTACTCTTGGTGAAGGTTTTTTGGTAACAGGCTGAGCAGGGCAGGACAGACCAGGATCCTCTTTTCCCCAGCAACATTTTCCACCTGCTCCTGGGGGATCCATAGACGTTCCCACGCCATCTGAGAAATACTGTATAATCCCTCCAGCATGTCCTCTGTCTGCCTTGGGGTCTCTGTGGGAGATGCCCAGGGGTCATCCTCTCCAGGTGCCTGAGTTATCACCAGATCCCCTACTGGGATCGTGACCTTGTACTGGTGGTGGGGCTCAAGTGCCTCAGGGAGCCATAGAGCTAGGTTGTCGGGAGCCTTGTGCTCCTGGTAAGTTTACCCTTGGCAAATGGGTCTAAGGTGAGGGGCTGGGGGTGGGTGCTTGCTGGCTGTGCCTGGTTAAATAAAGAAGCCCCTTGTTTGTCATGAACTAGTAAATAGAGATAAGAGGGACACTGGACCTTCTATTTACATCTGTAACACATGGTTTATATGAACTACCAAAGGTAGGGGCTTCCACAATAGCTCTACAAGCTTCAAAGGTCTTTGGCATTTGCATAGAAACTGAGATAGCAGCAACATAATTTTTTTTTTCTGAATTTATAATGAAGTTAAAATTATACAAATTGAGGATTATTCTTATTTACAGAATAATATTTATATAGTTTGTGAATTCAGCTACTTTTAAAGAGTTTATAATGTCCAATGTACTGTAAGACCTATTGCTGTCTTTATCATTTTAAATTTAAATTTCTTGGAATGCTTTTTCAAGAACAGTTCCTGTTATTTTATTTGCATAAAAAGGCTTTATGCCATAAATTATCATTGTATTTCATTAATTAATACAGTTGCAATCAGACATAATTATGCCACTTTTCCTGATTGTGTTTAAAACATATGTAAACTTTTGTCCTTTACTTTATTATTTGTGTGCAAATGAGCGAGCTTGTTACTACTTTCATCTCTTCTACTTAGTTTGGGATACAAAACATCTTTTGTGCCCTGAGCTCTCCTATTGTAAAGAAATACACCTGTGTAATAGATAGCCATGTACATGCTGTACAGAATTATTTCTGCACAATAGTTGTAAAGAAAGATTGAAGAAAAAAGCAAATAAAAACTGACCAAAAACCTTAAACAACTGAATTATACAAGTGTGTTAATAAAAACTAACATATGAAACTACTCTGAATGTGTGTGCCTTATTAGTTTGAATTTACTAATTCAGTGATATGAATTCTAAAGCACACCATGTCTCTTTTAAAAAACATTGGAAAAATATGTCTTGGTAATTATTTCCATTATTTCCTGCAAGAAAATGCAAACGGTTTGTTGTGTTTCATTTCCCATCATGTCAAAATGATGCAAGAAAGACACGCTTCTGGGGTAGAAATCCATCTCAATCTAATGCGTTTTAATCCTCACATAAGTACAATATGGTCAAGTAGGGAGCTGCATCAGCATGCGTAGGCTGCAAAGGAACAGGTAATGGGTTTATTCCATGCTGAATAGAAAAGAAAGAAAACACACAGTTTCGGCTCACACCTGAAGACGGCTTCACAGACTAAATGTGTTTCCTTTCTTTTCTACTCAGCAGGGAATGAACCCATTACGTGTTCCTTATTGTAGTAGTTTTTTGATCCGATAACTTATATGCTAATGCCTCCCTCTGTCTATTCTTGTGATTTTAACAGAACCTGTAGGAATGCATTCCAACACAATTTCTGGAGATGTAATACCTTCAGTTTCACAAAGGCTTTTTCACAAAACTGAGGCGTAGACCAGACACCCCACTGCAATCAAACTGATCCAGGGACATTTTGACACATCGGTCATATTACAGAGCTGTAATCATTGTGTTCTAGAAGAACTGGAAGAGGGAGAGCGCATACATGATCAGACTAACTGTGCTCCTACACAGGTGTGATCGCAAATGTACTGTATACTGTAGTTTCACACAGCCTGCAGGGCCAGCAGCAACACTCACACTGTGAAATTCTCAGGCAGGAAGCAGCGGTTGCGGAGCAGCCCTGCCCATAGCTGGACACCCACAATGCCAAAGATGAAGAAGACAAAGAAGCAGAGAAGCAGAACGTTGCCCAGCATGGGGAGGGTGTCCAAGAGTAGTGTTACCAGGATCCGCATACCTGCAAAAAAGCACACTTCATCAATACTTAAGCACACCATACTAAAGTGACTCGTGGTTCTGAAAGCTGCATCACACAAAATCAGCATAAATAACTATGTCACGCACCGGAATTACATGAATTAGACATTTAACAAGGGTGTAAAGTCTTCTGCTGAAAACAGAAATTCCAAAATTAGTAAAGGACCTTAGGCCAGGGAGGGACTACTGGGTTTCAGTCAGTGTGTACATGACGTCAAGTTTTATAGTATTCCCTGGAACCCTTTAAGGAATTACCTGCTGAGTATTCATCATTGAAGTCTACAAATAAGACTTTTTGTTAGTTGATTTCAATAGAGATGGGCCATATGGACACTTTGCATCCCTTCTAATGTTTGCAAAAACACTAATGTACAGTACTGTATATTAGCCATTAGGCCAGATATAAAACCACATTCATCCATTCAGCTGCTCTTGCCCTGGAGTGGATGGCTGTCGATAAAAGGGAGAAAAAAATAGAAATGCCAATCAAACTTTTACAGGTAGTATGTTTTTGGGAGGTGCTAAGAAACTGCAGCGCATTGAAAAATCATACATTGATCATACATCATTGAGCGAACATGCCCATTTCACACAGAGAGATGCCTACCCAGGACTGCAATCTACTGTAGCTTGAGACTGTGTTGTGAGGCTGTAGTGTTAAATGTCATGCCATCACAACCTTCATCTTCCTTTCTTAAACACTGAAACCACATTTGTTGGTTACAGAAACCGGATGAATGAATATATATGTCAGACATTGCACAAAGTTTAATTCTCCTTGATGTGCACCCATTGCATCAACAAGCACTGCTGTGTTTGGACTGTACTTTCAAATATTAATTTTCTTTTGGCTCTTTCCATTGCTTTTCAATATTCAACATAGCACTAATTACAGTAGTTTTATTTACAGTAGGAATGATAATTTTTTAAAACCATGTCTCCTCACTGTTTTGTGTGATATTCTACAAGGGGAAAGAAGTACTTTAAAAAATAAAATAAAGACTTTATCTGATTAGTTTGATATTTACTGATCTGTATTTTAAATTTAATAAATCTATGACCTACAGTATAATCCCAAATCCCTAATCTACAAAACAGTCTTTTCATATCAGTAAAACAAATTGCCCAAAATTCCATAATGCTTTACTCAATATACAGAAACCAGAAACCAACATTAGAAGTGCAAAAACAAATCACACAGAATGAGAAAGTGCCACAAGAAAAAAACAGAAAAACAATTGTTTTTAACAGATGACTAAGTAACTTTATGCACAAGACATTTTATGTGTTCACAAAATGAAAATATGTAACTTATTTTCCAAAACTAAAACGTAACAGCATTTTCATGGCTTTTATTTATTTTTTAATTAAATTATTTCATTTGGTTCTCCTATATTCTTATAGTTAGAAAACTTGAACTCAACAATTAGTTATAAAATAATTTTAACAAAATTAACAAATAGTTAGCCTTATTTCTGTTTTTCCTTTTGCAGCTTTTGAAGTAATTTAAAAATGGAATTGGAAATAACTTCTAGACTGAAACATTCATCTCTGTTTAGTGGTTATTAATGAAAATGAAAATTTAAAGCCCTGCTGCTCAAAAAGTGGTTTAGCTCAGGTATTCTTACTTATTTTTGTTTTGAACTTTTTCTAACCATTTTACATGGATTTTTAAATGAGGAGGAGGTCAAACATTATCTCACTCACTTCCGCCAACCTAAAGTACATATAAATATCGTGCTTTTTGCTTGCTTATGGCTTTAATTTACATATTGGCGTTTGCTCTTACCAGAGACAGGTGCTGTTCTTTGTGTCTCATATTATCTTCTACCTGGTTAAAGAGGACCACATGCTAACCACAAAGCAATGTGTCCTGAACCTAATATTTATTTAACCAAATATTAAGACGCACTGCTTGTTTTCCCCTTTACTTGAACCCATTTACAAGTTATCCCTTTTTAGAAAATTTAGACCACCTACACCAGTTCTATACCTTTAATACCAGTTCTATCAGAAGCTCTTCCTCTCTATGCTTACACTCTCGGATCACTTCTCCAGAGCATTGCACTCTGGACTTTGCACAAATTCATTCCTGTACTTCAAACCAGTCTTTGAAATCAGCCCTCAGACAACCATCCCTTCTGACCCACTATTCTTCAACAAATCAACAGTAGCGACTGTCTCTACCAGTTAGTTCCTACATTACTTCCCTGAAGTGCTAACAAGGCCCGTTTCAGCAGTAAATGTTTTCTGGATGTTTTTCTTTTTGGTTCTCCACCCTTCAGTGCTTGACAAGAAATCCTAAAAGCCATTCATAACACATTGTCAAGTATCAAACTATATCTACCAGATTCAAATCGTTTACATTGCAGCTCTTGTAAACTGTTGCTCAGAAATGCAGTTGTAGTATTCTCATAATTTTTTTTTCAAATACCTTCTTTCATATTCTTCTAAAAAAATTAAGTAATTCAGATCTTATAACGTCTCTGCAAACAGGTCTTGTCAGCTTCCCCTACTGAAAACCCCCAGTAGTTTATTTGAAGGTTGTTTCAATGCACTTTAAATATTAATCTAATGTGCCTGGAGCTGCGATTAGACTATACCAATGTCTTAGATTTGAAATTTGATCCAATTGCTTCCCTTGCCTGCCTTATTATGATTCACTGTGAGAGTGGGCTTGGGGTGGACGGAGGACAGCTTGGTTTCATAGTGCTAAGCACTTTTGCCTTGCATGCAGGGTGCTTTTTGAAAAGAAACAAAATCTTCTGGTCGGTTCTAAAGGTTCAATTTTGTTAAATGTGCTTTGCAATACTTATATAGTTCCTTGCTAAGTCTGAAATCATGAATTCATATTTCAGATTAAACTTTAGTTTAGACTTGGTTGACGGAGAGTTAATATCCTGTATGGCATCACTGTGATGTGAGTGGGTAAGAGTGTTTCTGAAAGAAATACAATCCTGATAATAGGGTCTGATAATTTTTTTGATGTAATTCACATTTTTATGGTGCTGAGGCCTTTGGTTTGAGACTCCTGGTACTGTTCCATCTTGGTCCCTGATAAGTGGTTGAAAACTCTAAAGGAACCCAATCCCAACATTTCACTATCAGCATTAAACGGTTCTCATAGACATTTGTTCTCACAGCCAGGAGGATGTAAATAATAATGAGTTAACCTTAGTTTAAATAAAGTTTCAAATGTAAGATTTTAATGATGTTTTATTCTGTATTAATTTATTTGTAATTTATTTTATGTTTTACATAGCATCTGGAGATAATACATAATGAAAGGTTGTATACACTATTACAGTATATATTGAAGTATGCATTTTTATGGTTTCTCTGGCAAAATATTGCATAAAATAATATTCATAAACTTAGAAAGGACATAATTATTGCAGAAATATACAAATACACAATGCTTCAGATACTACAATGTACAGTGACTTACAATACAGTGAGTATCATAGATATAGAACTCTACCAAGCAACTCAGGCACAGAAGAATAAAGGAACCTGTTTCTTATCCAAGACAGATCCTAAATTACTCTCTAAACCAGTTGCTGAACAAATGTGACATGCCCAGTAGTGGTGTACAGATTGCAAATCATAGGGCATCCTCAGGTGCAGTCCTTAAGTGCATTAGCTGAAACAGGTCAGACATGGATTAGAAGCCCCTTGTTAGGCTGGAGTAGCTTTGCTGTAGGGAAAGCTCTGCACCCTTCCATCCTGTAAACTCTTATGTCCACTAAGTGTGCAGAAAGGTGTTTCCAGCCCTCTTGTCTGAAGGATCATTAATCTATGCTAAATCCAGCATTTCCTTAATTTCTTAAAAAAATAAAATCCTTCACAATGTGGCCAAACAATCCTAAAAGTGTGCTGTTCCTGAGGCCTCAACCTATCATTCCTTCAAACATCATGTGTTACATTTTATGTTCTCCTCCTGATCTGTGTTGGGGAGCTGCTGTGGGCTCCAGGTTGGTCCCCGCCTACTGTATATGTAGACTACTTAGAAACCCTATAAATAGATGGAATTATCATTCCTTATTGAACTACATGTTACTGTATGTAGAATACTTGTGGGCTAGAAGCTTGTTGGAAGCAATATATCTTGTACTGTACACCTAGGATACTGTCATATCCGATTCTGTGCAATTCCTCTAATAAAGCCTAGAAAAGCATGTGCCCATTCACTGGTCTCTGAGCTCAGATGACACTCTGCCATAATTGCCATAAATATTTCAATCATTAGCAGCACGAAGGTGCGAAATGTCCTGCTGGAATATTGTCAGGATCGGCTCACTGAAGGAGCAGTAAGTGAGGTTCAAAGACTCGATCAACATTGACAGTGTAGTCAGGTTGTCACTAGTCACTTCTTGTGAGCTGGAGTTTCTGATGCAGTCGAACAAGCAGAGAAAATGAGATGGAGAGAGAGTATGTGTCAATCCTATCAGTGTGTTGCTACTGGCATTCTCCCAGAATGTGGACTATCATCATCATAAATTGACTGTTTCGGGAGGAACGTCTTATCAGGGTAGGAATTACTGGTTGTGAGTAACCTACAGTAGATATCATATGACCAAGATTGACTCTTGGATTGACCAAGAGCAAGAAGGCATTATCCCACACTGGGCATATTGGTTCCTTTCTTCGTTTTCTTTATTGGTTTTCATGAGATCTCGCATTCAATGGGGTAAAATTGCCTCATCAAATTAAAGAGATGACCTACTGCTACTGCTCACAACAGTATGTACTTCACAGTTCATCAATTAATCAAAGTGGTGTAAAAATTATGAAATTAATATCTAAAATCTGTATACATTATTTTTACATCCATATAGTGTGTGCATACATAAACTGAGTTTCTATGGATACTTAATATGTAATAAAATGCTGTTTAATTTTTAAATAATACATTATCCATACTGTATTGGTATTATGTTGTTTGCGTAAATAAAAAAACACTTTTATTGCTGTATGGAAAGTGATTTATGTTGATGCATCCTTCTTAAAATAATCATATTCAGTCACGAACACTTCCCTATATTAAATATCAGTTAAATTGATTAAATATCATACTAGTGCTGTTATACAGAAAACACAATTCAGGGCCCTCCAGGGCCCTCACATATTACATTTCCATAGTGTTTCCATATAATATAGTGGTAATATAGACGAGCGTATGCACACAATTTGATCCAAGAGTTACCTAAAATTAAATGAAAAACACTAAACACCTTATTCCATTAAATATCAATTAAAAGTCTAGGAATTATAATCCCTTTATGTTTATTTTAATTGTATTTATTTAATGCTACACTATATTTATAGACAGCTGTAAAAGGTACTTTAAGTGAAAAAGCCCTATAAATCTCCTGCTCAATCGAAGAACAGAGGTGTTCAAAGGGAAATATGACATACTGATGGTTGTAATTCATCACTTTACATGGAAGGATAAATATTTTAATGGAGAGAGACACATGTACTGTAGGATTGATACTATAATTAGATCATGCTTTTTTAACTAAATATAAAAGAGAAAGTAGTAGGATCCTGAAAAATAAATAATGCAGGATATTGCCTTTAGTTGTAGCCTGTCTTATATCACTCACATCTGCTTGAGAAGCTTCAATTTAAGGTACTCAATCTCATCATGGTAGGGAAAAAAAGTGTTTTTGCAAGCAGCTGAGACACCAGACAAAGCCACTTGGAGGCCACCTTCTTCTAAAACACAGACTGACCTCTTGAACTCAGTGAACATTTTAATTTTAACATCCTGGTAGCCACTCCATGCAAACACTGGTTCCTGATTGTCATTGTCTGTGGTCAGAATCACAAATATATTCATATCAACAGAGAAACAAGAGGAGTTCACAATGGCTGGACTGATAATATCCATTGCAGAAGCATTGTGTTTCTTTTTTTCTCTTTTCAGTATGGAACAAACCTTTACTTGATCACTGCAATACAGACTTCACACTTGGAGTTTTTAAGAGGATGGACAAAAATATTGGTTTTCTAAATCCTCACAATTGTGAGGGGGTGAGGGGTTGGGCAGTTTAGCCAGCCCAGATAAGCAGTGTTAGAGCACAGCCCTCTCGGGACCTTACAGTATATCCCTAGAAATCACTGGGCGAATGAGCCTCTGCTCTCTTTCGCAGGAAGAGAACTGATCAGGTGACTGATTAAAAAGCAGAAACGGTTTCCTGTGTCAGTGAATTTCTGTTGTCTGAAGAGCAGAGGGTAGAACCTGTCTGTGCACCCTTCAGTAGAAGGACTGACTGAAGACTAAGGTGTTGAGATTTTGGAAGCTTTTGAGGGAGACAGAATATTGGAATTGCTTATTTGAGGTTTAACTGCTTAGCCATGTTAATTAGGGACTTTGAGAAAACATTTAGGCTGCAGCTCAGAAAGGATCACTTTATCAGCCATATACAATTTCTTGTATTAGGAATTCATCTTTTCACATACAGTACCTCAGCTTGTTCTCCATGAGACACAGACAGGAAGAGAAGCTTGGGGTCAGAGCACAGGGTCAGCCATTGTATAGCACCCCTGGAGTTAAGGGCCTTGCTCATGGGCCCAACAGAGTAGGATTCCTCTGCCAGCCACAGGATTAGAACTGGCAACCTTCAGGCCACAGGCACAGATCCTTAGCCACAGTGCCACCAAGCTATGGTGTTTGGTTGTGGCTTTTTGTATTCCCTACATTATAAATAAAAGGCACTAGAGTGTTTACAGCTGTGTGTTAGGTGTGTCTGCTCGCCTGGACCTGCCTATTTTAACGACCCTGTTATTGTAGCGGAGCTAGTGTGGTGACGTCAGCGCCCTCACTGCACATAGCAGGGTCCTCAGCTGCCTGGGCTGGGGAGGTCTCCTTCAGCTCATGCGGTTGGTGCCCTGTTGTATTACACCAGAGACCCGGGTTCGCGCCCCAGGTGTGCGGGACGGAATGGGTGGCGGGGGGCATGACACCCTGTGGAACTGCAATGATCACATTATGAAGCACACAGGGGATCGTCACAGGTGGCATTCCCTTAGTTAGGAGAGCCTTGTGAAGTACTTTATACAGTACATATTTGTCTTTCACAAATAGCAGCAGCCAAACTACTAAATATATTTTTTAACCATACCACTCCCTCATAAAAGGAGAAATCAATTAATTAAATTGAAATTGAAAATAAAGTTTTCAACAAACAAGCTAAAAAATATATATATATTTTTATATAAACTCATTTTTTAAAATAACTGTCTAAATGAGTCAAAGAGTCCATTTGAAGAATACATTAAAGAATCTCTCTAAATGATCCACTGCGTTATACTGCATATCTTGACGGAAACAAAAGCGACTGCAATTAAAAATAAGGTAAACAAAATTTTATACAAAAAAATATGTTTTTTTCCTTTCTGTCAGGTACGCTGTTGCTGTTACGCCTGGGAGGGTCAAAGCTTCCAATCCTCGGGCACCATGGAAACGAATTGCACTCAGAGGAGGAGCTGGACACCGCCCGGTGTCACCCAGCTCCAGCATGGAAGGCTTTTTCAGATCCCTGTTACCATTTAATGAGCCAATGACTGGTGTTTTGTTCCAGTCCAGCCTGTTCTAGTCAGTAACTATCCCTTATTATTCCGATCCTGCCAGTCCCGATTCTGAATCCGGAACAGTGGCAGTTGTGTAGACCCAGTCTGTTTTCCAGCAGCCCTTACTGCTCAGTTTTCTCAGTCAGCCCTTTGTTAATCTCTGTGCCCAGCCAGCCCTTCTGTCCTTTAAACTGTGTCTCGCAAATGGATTCCTTTATTCCTCAGCCAGCGAGCTTTTCTATACCAAGCCATGGCATAACAGTTGCAGGAAAGGCATCACAGAAGCTTTCATCTCAGTCTTACACAAATAATCTAACCCAGCCAGCAGGGTACGCAAGTTTCATTTAGCACTTCCTGGTAATAGTAATTCAATAACCCTTTCTCACATTTTGTTTTTGAAGCACTATGCTAGAAAAGTACATTTACATATACTGTACAGTACTGGACACACAGAGCCATGATATGACAAAATGTTCTGGAATGCAGCTTAGTTCAGTTCTCAAAGCTCATTCCACATGAATAAACATGTTGAAAAATTTAAAAAATGTTATGAAAAAATAAAATAAAAATGTTATAAAACGGGTACATATATAATTGTCATGTATTTCTTTTTTTCCATAAAAAGTTTCAGTATCTCTCATTTTTATGTATATGTGCTGCAAACAGGAATACCTAGATCTTTAACAAAAGGAAAGAAAAGTCACATTTAGTCACACTGAACCTTTACACAGTTCTCATTCTCCCCTGGTATATCTTCAACATATTGTAGGCTGCTTTAAATGGAGTTTATAATGGAAGTTCAGGAGGGACGACAACAACAAAGCTCAATCGTACTTAGCTGTCAGTAATTAGCAATCGCTCCCAACATCCTTCCTCTACCAAACGCTATAAATACCTACGTGATCCCCATCTCTGCATGCCACCTCCACCCCTTCTCCACCTCTGCAGCTACCCCTTGGTCACCCTGCATGGGGTTCCTGACCTCCCTGTCCTATGGCCAGGAGGTCAGCCCTCAGCCAAGTGGGTTAAGCCAATATTCACTCCATAATACTTTCATCACGCTTTAGTCTTGGGTGTTTTCATTCCTAGTGAATCAAAATTAAAAGATGTGTGCACAAACTGAATTAGGTAAATTAAGGTAAGTACCAACTTTTCAAATTTATTGGGGGTGTTCATCTTAAAATGCACATTAATAAAGCATTTCTTGCTACCATCCTCACACCTTAGTAATTTCACAGAATCCTCCTGTTTTTTTTACTAGAACATATCACACATTTTCCATGTTATTATGCATATTATTATGCAAACTTCATGCTGAAAGATTGCTCATACTGTACCTTTTAAGTATTTCTAATGTATAATAAAAAAAACATAGATACCTTTGTAAAAACATTATTAAGCCCATACTGTACCTTTTGCTTCTTAATTTTGGCCTCATTAAAGATGAGTCTGAGCCAGCTTTATGAATGAAGTGATGACCACTTTTGCTGAAATGTCTGGCCTTTCTTAGGTTTTGCTGTGTTGCTCTAATCACCATTAAGCTAACTCGCAGATCGCTATCTGTTAATATTTGAAGTGAAATTAAGTGCAGACACTGGAATTTGTCAATTTTAACGACTGTTTTTTTCCAGAATTCTGATTTCTGAAAGATATATCTCCTTGGCAGTGGCTGTTCTGCACAGACGCCTTTTAGGATCAAATATCGGTTGCTTATCATTCACTGATAAGTTATTACAGTCAATTATCATAATTAGTATCATAAGATCATAAAATTATCATAACAAACTCGCAGTCATCCTATGGAAATCTCCCAAATATATACAAAGTACAAATGCATTCATTCCTGTTTTAACAAAGATATAATCAAAAATTAAAAAAAATATTGGGGGTTCTTGAGTACACACAGCACCAATGGAGCTGGTGTCTATGGGAAAATTAATTAATTAATAAAGTTAAGAATAAAAAGGGTAAAAAAAGAAGCAATGACTAGATAAAAGTGTTAATCACAGAGGAAGGCCTGACCTATCAGAGGACTGCTGTGGCCTGTAGTGAGCACATCAATATACCCTGCATGGGTCCCTCATTACAGAAACTCACTCAGGTATCTCCACACTACTTTCTCCTGCTAGCCATCAGGGTATAGGAGGACATAGGGTGGGCGGTTCAAGCAAACGAAGGCAGTTACTCACTAGGGACGCGGTTGATGGCTCTCAGGGGCCGCAGGACTCTGACGGTACGCACAGCTGAAAAACTGACATTCTGCAGGTTGAGAGAGTACTCCAGCATCCTGAGGGAAGAGCAGAGAGAGTTAGCAATGCACTGGGATAAAACACCATGAGCTGTGAACTTTACTGGCCCTGTCTGTTCTGCCGACGCCAAATTGTCATCTGAAGAAGACAATGAGTGGTGTATGTTTTTCCCCAGCAGATATTTGGTTGCTTTATTCTCTTTTCTCAATATACAGTATTCTCAATATATTAGGATGAAAAAAATAATACATAGAAAACAAGATGTATACAGTACCTATTACCAAAATATGAAAGAAATTCATCCTGGAGATATTTTTTTTTACAGTTGAACAATACAGTATTTGTTGCTATTGAGATTAATCAGTGAGAGTTTTCACTTATTCAAGGGACTAGCATATTGATATTCTGCAACAACATTAAAAAGTGAACATTTTAACAGAAGAAAAGCTGAAAGTGAATTTAAGTCCTTTAGTTAAAACATGAAATCATTAGGTTATTTAAGTTACTACGTATCTACTTAATGCCTAAATAAGAGTAGTAACCTCATTGTGCTGTTTTGCTCTTTGCTGTTGCCTTCAGTTTTAAACTTTATTCTCAATCCTGTAATCAGATATTCTTTTAGGATCTGCATACAATTTAGAACACATTTTGACTTGATATTCTTTTTCACACTCCCTTCTTTTGACATTAACCACTGCTTCATGCCATATTTAGAATATCTTTAGTATTTGGTACAAAAACATCAATGTAACCATTCGATAATCATCTACTGACAATGTTTTTGTGACAGCTGAACAGTGTTTAATAGATTTAATAAACCCAAGTCTTACTGTTTTCATTCATGCAATCAATTTACACAATTCTGTCATGTCATAAAATGTACTTCTGATTTAATACTGACATGTTACACAGTTGCATAGGTTTGATATTACTTCATCATCTTTTCACTGCACTGCCCAGCTAATATTAAATCTATTTAATGCATATTAAAAACTACATGGCAGCAATATTTAACTTAAAATTGCAACTGTTAAGCTGCAGAATAAACTGAAGTAAAGCAACCCAAAATCTCAAGATCTACTTTATTGACTAATGTTTGTTCTTGACTGTTAACAAACATCCTTTCTTGTGTGTCTACTTCACAATATTAATGGTTCTGTAATTTGTTTTTACTTGTTCTTCAAAGTCCAATTTTTAGTCAGAGAAAATACTTTTAAAGTGATTTTCCAATGGATTAAAAATGAAAGAATAAATGTTTGAGTCAAACCTATCTCCAATAAATCAGTTCAACCTGAGTGATTCCATTATATACAAAAGGATATACAAGAACAAGAGAAATGAGAGGAGATCATTAGGCCTATCTTGTGATTTTTACTGTTTTGTAGCTCAGTTAACCTAAAATGTTATCCAGCCTTTTCTGAAAGTAATTCCAACATCCACCTGGCTGGGAAGCTGTTTGCAAATACACCTTCATTAAAACTTTCAGTGTAAAGGAGAGTTTTATATTCTGCATCCTAAATTAATTGCATTTTGATTTCCAGATGTGACCTCATGTCCTTATTCTGTGTCCAAGTATGAAATATTTTTCTGGGGTTAACATTTTTTTTGTACAACTCAGGATCTAACTGTATGTATTTGAATCAAACCACCTCATAATATCCATTGTCCTATACCGCAGAAAATTCACTCAATGAAGTACTCTCCAGTATGTTGATTCTGAAGAAGTCCATTGGATGGACTTTGTGGATTGACTTTGTCATTACCTTTTAGGTATTTGAATACTGTACATGAATCAGAGCTCCTTGTAGCTTTGTCTGATAAATAAAAAAAATATTCAGCTTTAGCTTGTTAATGTAGGACCAACTTTAAGTACAGGGATGTGTCTGGTCAGTTAATAAATAATGGGAAATTCTCTTTCATTCTCTTTCCCCTGCAAATAATGAACCATTGGAAATAAATGACAAGTTGAATCTCAGTAATAAGTTGTTGAAATGCTGTCTTAAAATTTGTTAATGTAGGTTTATGATATGTTTGGATGCAAATGTTGTCAGGTTGTGTGATTATTTAACTTGTGTTTACCTTGATTTGTGCTGTCCGCATTCTTCTGTTAAGTAAATCCCATCTCAGAGTTTTCTGAGGTGTAGAAGTATAATGGCTCACATTCAGTATTTGAGTCATGGAATTAACACCTCTATTATTGCCATTATACATAGTCTTACTGTACATGTAAACATGTAACAACATGAATGCGTTAAATCAAATAAGAAACTTCCTTTGTGTCCATCATCTTTGGCCCCCCTGATAAAATAGTGGGTGCATATATCTGGGACTATTTAAAATATTCAGTTCAGTTTATTGTCCTATGCACAAGTGCAATGAAATGCTTATTTGCATGTATGCACCAATACAAAGACATTAAGGAAACACCAACAACATTAACACAGAACAGCGGCAACAAAAAGTAAAAAAACGTACATCTTAGAAAAAAAGCATAGGTGTTTTTGTTTTAATGCATCAAATATGTGCATTAATTAACATTTATGGATGGTAAGAATGCTTCAATGTAAGTATTTACTGTCATACCTCCAAGTACTGTAACTAACATTTCAATGCTTGTCATGTGCTCCCTAAAAGAACGGAAGTGGTTGCACAGTACTGATGAGACAGAGTCTATAACACTATGGCAAATGTGCTAGTAGACCACTGTGGGAAACTTAAATGAATTTGAGTCAGCACATTTCCAGCCATAAGGAGACCTTTTCTGGTCATGGAATGGTGTGTATTCATTTCCTTGTCTCTAAGGGTTTTTGCATTGTAAAATGAGATTGAGACTCATTTAATTAAAACTGATTAGAGCATTTGAAAATATGTTTAATATGACAGGATCTCAAACTCACAGACTGTGTGTCATCTATCGTCTACCCAGTTCCACAATCAGGCTGTCACAATATTTAGCAAAACTCATTTAATCAGGGTTGCGGATGGTTGATCAAGCAAGTGCAGCAAGTGTTGAACTTCATTATTCTGTTTTAATGTAATTTTCTCCTACTACTTTAAGAATCATGGAAACCATATTTACAGCAATGTTTTGGAGTGGAAAATTGTGGCTGTGAAGGTATGTTGACCTGCAAGTAACTAGAACATTTGATTTGAAAATGCTAGTCTTTGGAAATGTTAATTATCCCTGCAAAAAGAAACTACTGACTACTTTCTCACCCTAAGAAAAACCGACAATGAACACTACCAATTCCAAAATAAGTGGACTGTTGATTTTCTTTTCTTTGAGTACAAATAGACACATGTATTGCAGATCACACACTTCATCTGCAAAGGGAAAGTTGTTATATTAAAAGACTACTATATTAAATTACATTATACAACTGATGATATACAACTTTGATATATTGACTGATGGTGAATATATCAAAGAATGTCTTACTAAAGTAACAGTGAGACTGCATGTCCAGATAGAAACAATATTTTCATAAATGTCTACAAACACAGAAGCAGAGTTGTTCTTGAGCTCTTTAACAATCTTGATGAGTACCTAATCAAGAAAAGCACATCTCTCTGTGCATATTCAATTGCAATTGATAAGAGTACTGATTTAGTTGACAGAGCACAGCTTGCGATATTTGCAAGAGATGTTGATGAAAGTTTTACAATAACTGAGGAACTGCTCAACTTCTCAACAATGTGCAGTAGTCACAATGGACAATGACATTTTTCTTTGTCTCCCAGAAGCACTGGAGCAACACAGTCTGCTGTGGCATTTGTCAGCAACCTTAACTACTGATACTGTATGTCTTCAGCAATGATTGGTCAAAAAACAGATTGGTAACAGCAGAACCAAGAAAAATGGATGTGAAAAACACAGACCAATTGATAGTGCAGCACTGCATCAATCAAAACAACCACTTAGCAGAAAACTCTTCCAAAAGTCAATGTAACTGCACCACTAGTACTGTGACTGTGTGTTAAACAGGGATCATACTGTATAATGCCAGAGGCTGATCTCTTCAAACAATGGTTGATCCATCTTTATACTATCCTCTGCATTTTTTGATTGGAAAATTGTAATACAGAAGAATATCTTTGAGCATCTATCCATTTTTAACTGGTTTATCCAATACAGAGTTGTATCGGAGCTGTAGCCTACCCCAGCAAGCAACAGGCACAAAGAAAGGATACAGCCTGAATGGGATGCCAGACACAGACACAACCATGCGCCAGGACCAGTTTTCCCAGAAGTCAAATAACCTACAAGTTAGTTTTTGGACTTTAGGAGGAAACCTGAGCACCAACAGAAAAGCCACACAAACATGGGGATAACATACAAACTCCATACAGACAGCACGCCAGGTCCAGAACTGAACACAGAGCCCAGACACAGTGAGGCAGCAATGCTAACCACTGTGCCACTGTGCGGTCCATCATGGAGCATGATAGAGTAAATTAAACCTAAAGAAGAACACTGGGATTTTTCTTAACTATTCTAAAGCAAAATGTCACTCTGACCACTCTAAGTGTAAATTCTACTGTCTATTCTTCAATCACAGTGAAAAATCAAAATTCCTGTTCATCCTTAATACATGGAGTGTTTTCTATGCCATAATAATTTCATGTCATGGGAAATCAATATGTAATCAGATCCATCTTCAGTGTAGGGGGTCACGGCTATATCATTAGCTAACTTTGAAACAGATTCAGTGGATGATTGAGTCCAGATTTGAACTGGATAGGATCTCCTCAGTTTTCTGCACAACAGGTGGTCTAGGTACAGTGTTGGAATTGGATATACTGTATGTCTAGAGTTTATTGTAGAGCTAGAACTGTACAGATGAGCAAAAGCTAAATGGGGTAATTTAGCTTGCTCACTTAAAAATCTTTTAAGAAGAATGTACAGCTTTTGCTCTTCAAATAATCTCTGCTTTCCAAGAATGAGCAAATAAAAGACTATTTCAGACTGTCAGCGTACTTAAAAGTTTAAAAAAAATATACAAAAAAATTGCTGAAAATAATGTGTATACTATATATG